TTTTATTTTTTTCGGGCAGTTTGAACTTTAAGAGGTATTATAAAAAAATCAATTAACATTGTGTTGATATAAAATAATCATGTGGTCCACATACCTGAGCCTACCAACACCACCTGATCTGAAATTATGGAGCATTTTAAAATGGTGGCATGTTCTGGAGAGAAGTGTTAATCAAAATTGCAGGAAAAATGAAAACTGAAATTTAGGAATTATTTGACAGCATCTTGAAAGATTATTCATTATTAAAACCCAAAGATTAAATCAAACGATTTTTGCGTTAGCCTACTTTACTATAAAATATTTTGATTTTCGAATTATGAAGACAAATACAGATGTACAGATATGAAGAGAAATATATAATTTTTAGAGACGTCAAGCAATTAATATAATATATATCTATACACAAAATAAATTTTTTTTTATTTATAATCATATTCGTATTTAATCGTGCTTACATAAGGAGGAAGAGCAGGAAGGAGAAAGAGAAAATATACTATTATTGCCGTTACAGCATAACAAAAAACAAGAACCTGAAATCTCTGCAGCATAAAGTCATTATTTAATTATGTATAGATAACTACAAGTGGAATAGAAGAGAGGGCACAAACTGAAAATAAATAGTAAATATATGATAGGTAGCTTTTATTACAAAATAAAAGAAAAATGGAAATGGAAATGGAAATGATAGACAGTGGTTTGTTAAGAACCCAACATATATGGAAGCATAGTCTCTTTATCTGAACTCAAAATCCAAAATTAATTATGAAAAAGGACAATAGAAATTAGTACCGTTCGTAATCGTTAATAAACCAAACATTGCACACATATAATTTTCTGTGTAAAATACAGAAACACATAAAATCGTAAAACAACAACTCTCCCTTCAACTTTTGCTCACGAAGTCTCCAAATAATATCCCTGCGAATAAAAACTGCATATTCGGATATTCTAAGACTCCGGATTTACAAAAAATCCGATTTTTTTTAACCACGGAGAGTTCGTTGTTATCTGATTAATCGAATAATCGAGAAATTTTATTAGGATTCCAACAGAAACCTCAGGTATATGCTCCAGTCCTGTAAAACTAACAGCCTCCAAGTACTTTTGTCAAGTTCTCGAGAGAGCCGGGCAATTACATAGTCGATGCTCCAGAGTTTCCTTTGCATTCGGCTCGTTGCATTTCCTACAAGCATCGCTGTGAGTTAGGTTTAGTTTTCGGCCATGTGATGCAACCAGACAGTGGCCTGTCAACACACCAATTAATGTTGTACAGTTTCTTCAATTAGAAGATAAAACATCCTTAGTGTACTTTTCTTCATATATGTGTCTACACATGATTCTAGCTGTTCTACAGGTGGTTAAGTTCCGCCACCTTAGCTTTGCTCTCTTTGTCATGTACTCATCCAGAAGTTTATGTATTTGTTTCAGAGGTCTGCGTACTTCACTCATTTGTTCCTCTGAAAGTTTTGCGCCAATAGCATCAACTGTCTCATTTCCCTCTATGCCTTTATGACCTTTATGAATGTGTAAATATAAATAGTTTATAAAATTTACATTTTTTGATGAACATTAAGATAATATTAATTTATTTTACTGCTTATAGCGACTATCGGTTATAACAATCGGATTGAGACTCGGTCTCTTCAATATCTTTATAACTATTTTTGACTCTAATATATTTATAAGACACCGAGTACCAAAAAATATAGATGATTTTATAAATAACATGTTTCTGCATAAAGCTTAACTTTATAAAGAAAATAAACTTTTTTTCCAACCACATATATTATCCTCTTTATATCATGCAAGGACTAAGAAGATGTAATTATTAAAAATTATTGTAAATTATTACAATTAGATTAAAATTTAGACTAAAAATCAATTATTGACTTTCTATCACTAAAACTTAACTACGACAAAAACAAATAATAAAATCGGTTCAATGTAAGAACTGTGTGAAGGCGTAAATTTTAGAAAATATTAAAAAGTTTAACGTAATTTTTCATTAAAAGTGAATCTGACACTTACATTTTCTACGAAAGCGAATTGAATGGAAATCGTGAAATAATTTTGCTCGCTTCGGGAACGACACATCAGTAATTTAATAACGAAATTATGCACTCCGGTAGTTCCAATAATGACGAGCCAAAGACACCGCAAACGCAACCTCACAGAATTACGAAGCCATACAGAAGCGGTACATAAGAGGTACAATACGCACAGCACATTGCGATGTTAATGCGACGTCACACATGCGTGGTTTTGGCATTTTGGCATTTCTCGCAGGAGAGGAGAAGTACGTGACTTCGCTGGTTGATATCTAAACACCCATATAAGTCCATATATATGGACGTACTTGTGTCTACACATTATTATAAAATCCTGCATATTATTAGGTAATTTTGCAATTTGACAATAATTTGCCACAAGTTATTTCATTTATTTTGCCTTTATTTTTTAAGTAATTGGTTTCAACATGAGAGATTATCTATTTTGTGGCTGCCTTCGATGTAATTTGAATGGATTTGGTAGAATGACTTCCTCAAGGCATGGTTGAAACGTAATTTTCGAGTACGTCTTGATGCGTTTTCATTGAGTGTTTAAATATATGAAATGCCTAATGTGTCGGTTCCAAATAGTTGACAATTCATAATTTGTATTAACTGCAACGTTTAAATTAATATCTTTAAGTCTTGTAATAAAAATTTGTAGTTTTGTGTAAGAAGAGAGATAGTTAAAGATAATTGATAGTATATAAAGCGCTTAACTGACTTTAATTTCATCAGTTCAACTTTGGTGTTTAAAAAAAGTGGTGTGTTATTTATAAAAATTGTTCAAAAGGACTGAATAGCAAGGACATAAAACAATAAATAAAGGAAACTTTTAAAATAAAAATCTAACTATGAATACTGTACAATTAAAATATATTATCTACTTAAGCTGTTTAATTTTGTTTAAAAGTGTTCTGGCTGTGCCTAAATACGATGGAACTTCAAAGTGAGTTTATAAGAATTACAATTGTTATTATTTAAACTGCTTGAATACAGCTAAAAGTTGTTTAAACAATATTATCTTTTTAATCCTGATTATAAAAAATTCTTAAAGTTTTTTCGACTTTCATAAGGACAAGTTTAAAGTGAAAAAAAACCATTGGAACTAATAAATTTAAAGCACACATATACTATTTCAAAGATGGAATCTAATAGTCAGTCCGCATAATAAAAATGTAATGAGATGTAATGTAATGTAATTAATTCAGGTATCCTTCCTGGACCTATACTCAATCGAAACTCAAAATTTTCATGTCCGCTAAAAATAGTTGCAATATATAACAAGTACTTAGCTAAATATGTACATGTATATTCAACAATAGCCGTAATTTTTTCTTTCAGAGTAGCAAAAATATACTTACAACTTACGAAAGAAAACATATGAAGCAACAACAAAGTTAGGTTTTACTCGCAAAAATTTATCCACTTAAGTTTTAAGTTTTGGTGCAGCCAAATTCAAAAATCTCTCTATTGTGAATTATATTCACATTTACTAATAAATTCTAATACATAAATATATAAATTAATTTAAATATATAAGATAAAAATACCAACCAATGCCTTTCTAATATTCGTATTGTTTTCTCTTATTTAAATTAATTTTTAAATAATTATAGTGTTTACAATTTTTAATATTTTCTATAAAAATACACAACAAAAAACTTGTGTCAAAAAAAGCATTTAACATATTTGAAAAGTGATGCCAATTAGTTTCAACCAGACTTAATGTTGTGTTTTTACAGCTCTGAAAGAAAATATTACGCCTAATATTGAACATCTGTACAATACAGTAATAACCACATACACAAGTTAAAAAACTTCGATTAATTTTATATAAAATCCACAATATAAAATCAACTTTAAAATATAAAAAGTTACAATACCCTTCACACACACATATGTAGTGTCTAAACTGTATCTGTGTCTAAAGTATCTAGTACACTTTTACTTTTAATGTCTGTGACCACTTGGATGATTCACTGCAATTATGCAGTGGAAATAAGTTATTCAGATGATTTTATGGAAGTCGGCTTGGAAGCGCAGATTATCTTCCTGAAGGAATATATATTGCTTTTGATTTACTAGACTGCAGTTCTGGATGAGTGTACTTAATCACAAAATCGAACAATTTCAGCGATCTATCCTTTATATACTTTTGCCGCCTTTAATTATAATAATTAAATTGCAATTAATATTTGTTTTAAACACGTTTCATTCATTTTTATTTTAATAATTTGATAATAAGATTAGATACTTTTAAAAAATATGATTGAAGAATTCATTCAAATGCTTACAGAGACTTTTCCAATCAACCTCAGTGGCGTCGCTCATATTATAATGAAAATAAAACTGAAAAAATAGAACAGGACACAGCCTCAACAAAGGATAGATTGCAACGTCTTGGTTACACCACCGGCTATGGAACGATTCAGGTATATTTTATAATTAAATTTTAAATTGAAATTTAATTTTAAACACATAAACGCATAAATCAAATAGGGCTACCCAGGAAGTACAGGCCTGTCTGCGTATAATCCAATTAAATTAGATCTTGGTGGCGTTGTACTGGGCACACTGGTTGGGATTGGTGCTATTATAATAATACCCAAACTTTTAAGTGCATTTCATGGTGGTTACGCGGGATACGGCAGAAGTAGGAATTACATCAAGTAATAAAACAATTTCACTTGTAAAAGACACACTTTTTTCGTCTAGGTGAAAACGACAATGATTTGTCTTCTGTTGGCAACATGATCAACAAAATCGATGATATTCTGGGCCAAAATAATATCGATTCGACGAGCTGTATGCAACGCGCTGTCTGCAGTTATGTGCGTACAACAGAACAAAACATGAAGACGGGGGTCTCAGACCAAATGGATGAATTCATTCATATGTTGTCTGAGTAAGTAAATGCATGAGTCAACATTTATTTTAATAACAGGTGATGTTGTTTAGATTTAGCTAATTTAGTTGATTAAGCTAATTTAACAACAATATTAGCACGAACTTTATAAATAAATTTTCGAAGGGAAATGACTTCCAACTTATAAATATCGAAAGGCCAACATAAACTTGAGAAATCTATTTTATCAGAATAAATTCAAATGTTAGCTGAAGTAAATTAGAATATTCAAAAAATTATTTTATTCGCTAAAAAAAATCTTTTTTAACAAATAAAAAAAAATTAAGATTGTAAATATGTGCTTATGCATAATTATAGATCGCACACGTAAACAATTTGTAGAAAAATTCAAAAACAAAAATATTCCCAAACCCACTAAATACCAAAAACTGGCAAAAGAAAGAGAATTTTTGTGGGCGAATGTTTTGTTTATCGTAGTTGGAGGATTCCAAATTTATTTATTAAAAATATTTCAAAAGCGTTACACCTCGATTTCTTTCTATTATATATATGTATATGTCTGTATGTATGTGTAATTGATTCATTCAAAATGTTAATGACGTACACATCCGTTGAATTCTAATCTTTAAATTCGAGCGGTAACACTTTGCTATCACAATTGAACTGAGGTTGTAGCCTTTAGTAATTCATACTACATCTAGTGACTTAGAGTTATATATGTTAGTATAAAAATTAAATAAATTTTCAAAAAATATATATACCAAAGTCAGGATATATACCTTACTCTTAGTTAACTTTTAAAATTTATTTTAATGTTAACTCACAAATAAATAAATAATAAAGTATATATCAAAGTAATATTAATTAAAACCAGGAAATCCCTCCTTATTTTGTTCTAGTGCAATTACAATCTATAGAATAAACCGGTTCGATTTCGGTTCAAGTTTTCGCTCTGGCAAAAATATCGGCTTTTTCCGTTTTAGTTCAGAGTGAATATTTTTTGCCTAGATTACAAGTTTTTTTCTTCATGAAAGATACCGAACTGTATTGAGTCGATATAAAGCGCTACATTTTTCGGAAAGGTTTCGATTATTGCTCCGGTAATGCTACAGTTTTAAGTGAAAATTTTTGTGTTAAACTACAAATCATTTTTTTTTATAAATAAATTGTTTTAAAAAAACATAGTTTAGATTTAATTTAAGTTTAACCAACATGTACCGAACTATAGTTTTGCAGTACCGAAATAAACCGCTGTATGTTTTTAAAATCGCTTAAACTTTTCGATCCGGTAAAAATATTTATTTTTGTGATTTTCGATTTATATTTTACTTACTTAGCCTTAATTCAAACCGCAATTCCTCAATTTTTCTATAAATATTCTATATACTAAAATCGCACAACGTACAATACATAAACGTAATACATTACTTCAGAGGTGATGGGTTTATTTCGTCAGACCACATTTCTCGGACATATATTTATAACAGCAGTTTTTTTTTTAGCAATTTGTGGTCCTTCAATAGATCACAAATTATATTAATTATATTAATTAATAATAGTCACAGTAGTTATTGGTATCATTAGAATTAATATTCCAAATTGCAGTCTGAAAATAACCTAATCTTACCGACTATAATTTATTTACAATTTCTCAATAATTTTTAAAAAAAAATTTGTTATTAAACAAATTTTTTTTAATTTCTATTTATAATAGCAAATATTAAAAATAAACTTCTTCTTCTTCAACACTTAATATTATACCTGTCTATAATTTGTTTAAACCAGAAATTTTAATGAAGCAATTTTCTATTTAATTTCAACATAACAGCTTCTATTAAAAATGTCTGCATCTCTTCTCTATTTCCAAATTAGTCATCCATTTTTTTATATAAAATGGATTTTCTATAAATGGATTTTATTCTAAATAAAATATTTTAAAATGTAAACAGTTTTAGTTTAATTGATTGTTTTTTTAAACTTATTAAAGTTGATTTAATTGGTCATTTTATTTTTCTAGAAATTCTTTAGTTGATTACCTATTGGATGGTACTGCCATCAAAGAAGCATTGGAACATGGAAAACAGGTTAACGGTAAAGTATGCGAAGAAGTCTATCCATCGTGCCCACTTGATAGTAAAACTGCAACGCAAGTCCTCATGAAACTTCTACCGAAGAAAGCAGCAGATAAATCAGCTTCATAATAAAAAGCAATTTCTCCATATAAACTCATTATGGATTTACTAACGAAAGTATTCAGAATAATACAATTTTAATTTTAATGAACTAATAATATTTCTTATATATTGTATTGTATAATTTATTAAGATGAAATAAAAACTAATAAAATAATTTTATTGTTTTGTGCCTTGTACTAATATAATATACATGTCTTCTTCTTCAGATTTGATTGTAGAATATACCTTAAGGTCTCTGCATAAAATACTCAGAAGAAATACTTTTCTTTACTCAGTATTTAAATACCTTCAGTGTTATAATATCTAATAATTTAGACTTAAAATTATATAAAGAACTACGACTATGCTCTGAAGACTCCTCAGACAGACAGTAATAATATAAGTTTAAGTAATTTAATTGTAAGACCTATATAGTGATCGATTCACAAATCTGTTACCATGAATTATTTCATATTTTGATTATTTAATGTATATCAAAAGCATTCAAAAGACATGCATAGCTAACAGCTTTGTTCAAGAATGTGTAACCAAGCTCATAGAATGTGCTCATGGAAATGAAGTAACGGTCATGTGGGTTAAGGGACACATCGGTATTGAGCAAAACGAGAAGGCAGATGAACTTTCAAAGCAAGGATCAAGCCATAACTTCTACGGCCCAGAACTCAGAATACCATTGGGTTACAACATGATGACAGCCTATGTCTATAAATGGATAACCTCACTTTATCTCAATAGATGAAGAGAGTTTAACACTTGTAGGCATACTTGTAGGCATATCATGTTGCCTAAACCGTGAGTCAGGGAAGCGATAAAAGTACTTAGCTATCCGCGGAGCACTCTAAGCTGGCTGACCACACTAATTACTGCACATGCAACTTCAAGTATCGAATCAAAAAGGTAATTCTTGCTGAGGAAGACACTTGCAGACTATGTTTAGAAGAAAAGGAGACAGCGGTGCATATATTGTTATATTGTGCTAATGTCCAACACTGGCAAGTAGGACGAAGACCGTCTTGGGAAACCATTGAGTTGGTAATGACTTGGCAGACAACCTGAAGCTAAATGAGCTGCTTGCATTAACAAGAGATGTACTTATGCGAACGGAAGCCACTCCAGCTTTAACTCAATAACGTCATTCGAGAATAGAAGAACGAAGAAGGATCCAACTTTATTATTAAAGTTTAATATATTAAACTTTATTCATTCTTTTATAAACATTTTCTTATACTCACAAAATCAAGCCTGATATTTTCAAAATTCATTACAATTAAAATAGTATTTTTTCTTGATCGAGACCAAGTGTTATAGCTCAGACATTATTTCTTACAAGATTTTATTTATCGCAAATCGTACTTATATATATGTACATATGTTCTTTTTATTTTAATACCTACGATTTTTTCTACGATTCTTTACTTTAGAGCAAACTATGTCATTATTTCTACTTTGTCGGAAGTTGATTGACAATATTGACAATATTTTTGAGGTAAGATTTAGTAGTTCGACTTTAAAGATCTTCTAGATATAATAATAAATTATTTTCCTGAAAGCCTTATTCCAAATTAAAATTACTGTTCTAATCATTAAGCGCAAGTTGTACAAATTCTAAATTCCTAATGTTCATTAGACGTTTATCACTGAGTACCACGTTTCATTCATAGCTCAGATTGGAATTTTACTATTCGTGAGAAAGGTAAACCAAACAGGATTCTCCAAGAACAAATACACTATACAAGCTACATGCATATGTCCAAGCTAGAAATGTCATTTTTTATAAACCATTCTTATTAGTTTTAAATAAAAAATCTTTCTCCACAACCTTATCTCCGGATGTGTGATGAAAAAGAGCACCACTAACATAGAAATGGAATTTCTATATAAAACCAACCAACCATTCAATCTAACGAAAGAAGTCTTATAAACAAATTTTATGACATTATTTACATAATTGATGTTAGATAGAATTATTGGTCCTTATTCTAGTCCATATATCAATTAAGTTCTTAAAATATTTAAAATTGAAAAAACAGGTGGTAGCACAAAATCACAACGCAAGGCTCTTTGTATTTGTGTAGTAGGATCTATCCACAAAGAACCTTTACTGTTGACCTCCAATCAAAGCTAATTACATTCGCTTTCCAATATCATCAAATATTATATATAATCCAATTTTATTACTTTTCGATACCAATCTCATTCATTTGACTTTCTTTCTTTTATTTAACATTCTACTTCGCTTATATACATAAAAACTTAACATTTTAATTTAGTTTTAATTTTTTTTTTTTTAATTTTTATTGTAATATTACAATTTTTTTCTATTTTAATTGTTCAAATATGAATTAAATGATATAATATTAGTGTTTTATTCAAAAGTTGCAAAATTATTCATTAGCTTATTGTTGGCATTTAACTGCCATCAGATAACATCGTCTTCTGTATATAAATTTCTACGGAATATGTGAAGATGTTCAAAATTAATACCCATTCTCAGTTCTTGTAGTTCTTATAGTTAATAAGATTAAAGAAATCATTTTTTGTCTTTCCCCTTGTTAAATTTGTCTAGTAACTGCTTTAGTTCTTTCTCTTGTTCATCAATAATTGGTAACCAATGAACTGATGGTAGCAGAGGTTTTGATGGCATTGATATTCTTAAATTCTGCACTTCATCATTTTTATCAAAATCTTTATTAATCTTTTTTCTGCTATGACTTTCTAAAATATCTACCAAGCGATTAGATTCTTCCAAAAGTTCATCCACAGCCGAAAGAAATATACCCCAAGAAAATTGTTGTTTTCCATATAAACTTCTGCGTAAGTACAATTCTGCTGGTAAGAAGCTTTTCCAAGGTTTTCTTGATTCAATGGTATATGATTGATATATAGAATTTTTATCATATCCATCGTAATCAAAATCCCAGTAGTCAAATGTTGGTTTATTCAACAAATATCCTGTCATTCTCTTAACTGAACTATCATCTTCTATTACGTTATTTGAGTTTGGATTTCTTATGGATACTTCATCAGCAATAACTGTTTCAGTTGGTGATATGTCATTTGATTCATTGATATTCTCAATTTTCTCTTGATAAGATTTGTGATTAACTGCACGGATTTTTCTTATTTGTTCCAAAAGCTTTTTTTCTACTTCATCAAAATCTTCAGAATCGGTACTGCAGTTGTCAGAGTAATACGCCTTCATGAAATCATCACCGCTCACTTTAGGCAATAAAGTTTGAGTTGAAGCATTTGCAAATATAATCCCATCTGTCATTTGTGCAACTGAATATGTAAGAATAACTGAAATAAAAATATAAATAATTTCCAAACAAATTTTATCATTATGTTATAATTATTACATTGATCTGTATCAGAATCGGAGAAATCCTTTTTAATTGTGTACGAGCCATCAGTTAAAATTCCTACATCCTTATAGAGTATTAAGTCCACCTGTGTACCTAAATTGACTTCTTTCATTAATTTAGTCGGAGTAATGTCAGCTTGAATAGCAACAGTCGTTTTACCAGCCCTTAAACGTCTAAAGCAGAAAGTTATTAACTGAGCATTTTAATTAAATAAATATGGTATACCTTGAAGCATCCAAAAGTTTAGCTCTTAAAATTGCGTTTTTATCAGGTTTGGGTAAAGTAGACATGCTAACTGCACGCCAGGGTGGTCTCTCGGTCTCTTTGTCTGACGTCGAATCTTTTGTGCGTTTCGAACCTTTTGATGTTCTTTAATTCAATATATATAAAAAAAATTAAGCTTTTAATTCTTTATATCTAAAAATACACAAAATTTAAACAAAATGTTGACCGTACCGAGATAACACAGTGCATGTGGACTTGAAGTACGACACTGGGGTTCAAAGCCCACTAAGCGCTAATCTAATAACACGTTTTAAAAGAGATAAAGTGCTTTAAACAATCGTTAAATTTACAAAAATGGCTACCACAAAATCCACAAAGAGGTTCAACTCTAACTGGTATCCTTAGAGATTGTTTGTAATCGATAGGGTAGTGAACTCATATCAGTCATTTCAGTTTTGCAGTTAATCAACTATGGATACAAATGGTCTTAAATCCACTGACTAAATTAAAAACTAATAAAAGATATATATGTTTTTGAAATTGGCGAGCATAGATTAATACATTATCTTCAACATATCTAAACTGATATGTTTGTTAATATATAATTTCTGATGTCTGTTTTATTGCATTAAAAATTTTAAAAGCCAAAAATAACATAATATTTTACTGTAATAGGTGGTTTAGAATTAGAGAAGAGATAACCCAGAGTGAGTCAATAAATCCCAAAAATATAGCGGAAAAAATTAGAGGGAATCCAGAGAACTGGTAAACGATAGAGTCATATGTGATTCAAATCCTCCAAACGAAGAAATTAGACCCAGAAAGGAGAAGCAGAAACTAGGCTAATAAATAATAATATATATTCCAAAAATAGAAAAGATTAGAGCGAACACAGAGAGCTGGCGATCCCAGACAGCTGGCGAACGACAGAGCCATGTGTGATTCAAGTCCTCAAAACGAAACAATTAGACCTAGAAGGAAAACCTGAAACTAAGCTAATAAATAGTGCAGACACCAAGAAAAGTGCGCCGAAAAAGTGAAGTTTTGGAGGCAGATCGAAAATCACGAGAGCATGGCTTGAAATGCCAATATAAAAGAGACCCTCCTCAAAGTAATGCGAAAGCGGTTTCGAGCGAGAACAAGTCTCGCCGAAGAGGGGGTGTTTTAGTCCATATACTACAAATTACTGTTAGGGAGACGTGCACACCATTCCGACGACGTTCGGTCTGATGATGCATAAAGCATTTCATCTCCTTACCAGAAAAAAAATGTATACATGTATAATATTTAAATATTATTAAATTTATTATTTTAAATATTAATATATATATAATATTTAAATTGTATAAATTTAAACATTCATTTTGAGACTGCAAACACAAACGGTTAAGCTCGTGCCCTGCCAAATTTGAAGCTCAGAGTCAGTGTTCATTAGACAACTGACTCAAAGTCGTACTTATTTATTTACGAATAATTAAATATAAGAATTAATTTCAGTATCACCGATGATGGATATTTGGTAATACTCGAAACAGCTATATGATCAGCCAAAAATTCAATTAATTAATTAATTAAATTTTATTGTTATAATTTAATACTGTTCGAAATACCTCTCTATTGAAAACAATAGTTTGTTTCGTCAAAATGAGCGTTAAAAATTAATTTAATATAAATTTTTAAAAGAAACATTTATTTATACGAAAAGCGAATTTACATACGACATCAAATGTATAAAACACATATAGGTTGACATAATACAGATTCACAAAACTTTCAAGTTTCTCAGATATACATTATATATCTATTATTATTATATATAAAATATATTTATATAGTTTATTTTAAGCTTTTTCTATGCTGTTTAAAGTAAATATTTTCAAGATATATGCAGCTTAAAACCTATTATATTTTTTACTTTTTATTAAATAACCCACAACGGGGTAGAAATTAAGAAAACTTCAGAACTTTGGGTACATTGACTTAATTAAATATAATACATTAAAAAATTATAACATATTTTAATTTTTATATATGTTTTAATAGTTTACACTAGACACTATTAACGTATTTAATATAATAATATAAATATCTAACATAAATTTATTAAAAATTGTATGTACATGTATTCTCGGAGTTAAAATAATTTTTATTTTACTAAACACAAATTAAAAAATAAACATTTTTTAACTGTTCATAAACGAAGTTTTATTTTAAAAAAATTTAATTATTAAAATCTACATATCTTTTTTTTAACTTCAAAATTAAAACTTTTTATATAGTATATATCTTCTTTACACATTAGTTATTATTTGGATGCAGTTCGCACTGTATATTATTTTAGTTAAAATAATTAGAAAAGTTTAAAAAATCACTATAAAAATAAAATAATTATAAAATGATTATATAATACAATAAATTACCGATTGCTTAATTTTGTTGCAGTTGTACTTATTGCATCAGTTGTGACACCAGCACTTGCATTAGCATCCTCAACACTTTGTGATTCACTGGTTTCGGAAGAAGCTCCACTATTATTGGAGCTTGGTGAATTGAATTTATTCATTTTTCAATATTCCATTTTAAATTTATGTATTCTTTATGCAAATCGATAAAATGAATTAACTTTTACAATTAAATTACAATAAAAATAACAATCAAAATTGTTGCTATGGATGCACAAAAGCTATAAAGATGACAAAAGGACTATACAACATCGACGCAATTTTAGGTAAAAATAAAACAATAAAATAAGAAAAAAACAAACTAATTAACAAAAATTTAAGTTTAAAATCCTAAGTCCGTTTAAATTCAGCAGGATTCTCAAGAAATGCATTCAAAAAATCCAATCCGCAAGGTAATGATTGAATTTCTTCATGAAACATGTGTAGTGGCGGATATACAATATCTCTAAAACACAGTTTTCTTAGATTAGTAATTTCTATAAGAAATTTAGACTTTTGTACTTTGTACGCTTCTACTCTTCTTAATATTTTCTCTACACAAATTTTATTATCATCTCTGAAAGGAAAAAACCAATTTTAAAAATTAATTACAGAAAACTTACATAACTTATTGCAGAAGGATTACCTGATAAGATTAGCATTTTGGGTAAAAAGAATATACCACAATTTCCGAATCATTTTTGAAATATCTTGACACACATCATCGACTTTTACCAACATATTTAATATGATCATTTCCTCATGACTCTTGCACCAATTGCGTAAATCATATGGTAGTTCCAGCTTTAGTTGAAAGTTGATGACATAGTCTATAGGTAACCAATTTTCTGACATAAAAAAAGATATACATATTTATGTTACTACATTATTAAGGATTAACTTTATTACTTTTTGGCCAAAAATTATTGTCTTTAACTTTAATTGATTCAATCTCAATGCCACGACTCAAATTGGTTTCATTATATGCTACCTCCAAGCAAAAAATTGTTACTTTTTTGTGATTAAATTGATATAAATTAAGATTTTGATAATTAAATATCCAATCTTTTGCAATTTCGCTGCAAAAAAAAAAAATTTTAATTCAATATATTTTAGATATTTCAAAATTTACTTTAGTTTATCATCCAAACGTTCAACAAACGACCGACGATCTTTCATTAATCTTTCAGCTTTAAGTTGAAGATACTCCTGTCTGGCACTAAAAAGTTAAAACTTTCAAATTACAAGCAACTAATAAATAAATATTAAAAAATAAATAAAAATAAATATAATAAGCATAAGTAAAAGCAATTTACTTAAATTGTGTAGATCGAATTATGAATTACCTTTCCATCTTGTTCTCGTATGCTTTGATTATTTCATCTGCTTCATCCACATAGTTGGCCTCCTCTTCCTCATCCACATCAACATCAATTGCCGATAAATGTTCAATATCAAAAGAGTCATTAAGTGACATTCTACGATTATATTCTACCATATCATCAATTGTTGGACGCTTGGTGGACCTTAGTTTTTTTAAACGTTCCATTGTTGGCAGGGGAAGAAATTCGGGTAACTCAAATGATACCGCCAACGTGGTTGTATCGCTGACCATAGTCTCATGACAATTTCTACATTTTCGACAAACAGATCTTCTCTTTATTGAAACATGATTATTTCTGCTTTCTAAATCACAATTCTTGTCATCAATATTTTTTAATTTTACGTCTTCAGTGTTTACGCTCTTATTCTCTTTATTATTTGTTATGTCATCGAGATATGTATCTACAAGACTCAAATGTATTTTATCTACAATTTCTGAATCACAAACTGTTATATTATCAATATTGGTACGCCTTAATGGGTATTGAGATACATCAGTGATTGTGATAGCATTCTCTTCCAATATTAAATTATCTTCTGGCATTTTAGTGTCTTCAAGCAATATAGTATCATTTTCTAATAACTCAAATATACTGTCTTTTCTTTGAATGTTTGTTTTTCGTGCAATTTCAATAGGAGCAAGAGAAGAGTTTGTGTAAGTTTTTTCACAATTTGTAGTCAGCGAAGTTAACCCAATGGAATTATTTTTCACTTCACTATTAACAGGAATCGGAATACGTGACTTTAATTTTGCTGTTGGTGTGAAGTTTGATTCATTTGCAATAACGTTTTCCATAGTGACGTCTAAAGATTTACAACCCATTGTCTCATCTTCAAATGTTAAGCTTTTTTCTGGTATTTCTTCCACCAATTCATCATTTACTAAACTCTCATTCGATGCATTTGCATCAGTTGTATTTGATATACACAACCTAGTTAAATTAAAATTATTATAGTAATTTGTCATTAATCAGTCGTAAATTGATTTTACTTACCAACTAGGAGAAGACAGCACAATACACTCTTGTTGATTACAGTCATTCTGCAATGGAGTTTCCACGCTTTTCTTGCTTACAGAACCTAATTTGTCAGATTCACTCTTTAATTCAAATGAAGTTATGTTTAAACTAAAAAAATAAACTGTTTTAATTTAAAAAAAGGTATATATATGTAAAATTTTTATTACCCTTCAATTGCAGTCTTTGTATTCTTATTTTCATCACTTTTATTATGAACATCATCATTCATAGAAATATCCTTATTGAAAACAACAGTATTTCTTCTAGTAGAATTTGGAATCGTATTACTTTCAGTTGTTGTATCACCGTCAATATCCATATTGTCATGAAATAACATGGTTTGACGTTTTTTAGGATTTGGAAAATTGGGTGTTATACATTCAGTAAAGCGTTTCTTAAGTACAACCGGACTGGTAGCAGGTAAAGAAGTAACTTCAAAATTATTAATTAGTTGTAAACCTGAAACTTCTAGTTCTGTATTTTCATAAGTTGTTTGTCGTTTGGTCATAATTTTATTACATTGCACCATTTTACTGGATTCCTCTTGTTGCATGCATACGTATGATATATCTTCAGCACATTCCTTTTCTATATCTTCAAATTCAATAAGTGACTTATGTGGTGTTTCAATCGAAAAAACCTTTGGCATCTTTAATTTTATAGAGTTTTTTGGTAATATATAATCATCCCTTTTATTTAAAATATTTTTAGTATTCTCAATAGCTTCATCTGCAAAAATAATAGTCTTACGTTTGACTTTGTTTTTGGATAAGCTTAATACTTCTATGGGAGGGGTTGCGGTTTGAGCCTCATCTATACTATCTTCTAAAATTTGTGTTTTATGGGGAAGAAAGGCTACAGCTTTAGATGACCGACATTTTTTATTATCACTTATAACATCTTCCATATCTAAACTGGAATTTTCCAAAAAAAACATTGTTTGCCTTTTAGGGGTATTCTTCAAATTATTTTTAAATTTATCTTTCATATTATTTACTAATATTTCTTTGGATTCAGTGGGAGACTGAATATTCATTATAAATGATTCTTCTTTTATATCTGAAGAATGATGTTTCACGACTGAATCTTTATCATTTCCAATTTCTATATTCGACTCTTTTGTAAAACAAATAGTTTTCTCTTCCAATGCTTTGGTGACTTTGTTTGGTTTACAGTTAATTGGAGAAAATTCTGTATCTATATCATTTATATCTTCAAGTAAGTATTGTGTTTCACTTAGCATTGGCATTACTTCTGCTCTTTTCGAATTATTTTTCTCATTATTTCTTTGATTTGATTCAAACTCTAAATTCAGTCCATCTTTAAAAAAAATTGTGTGCCGCTGTTGGAGTTGATTCGGAGAATGCAATTTTTCACAAAAGTTTCCTAATAAATATTGCGTCTCACTAAATGGCTCAATCTGATCATCCAAGCTGATTTGATCTGAAAAATGTATGGTTTTTCTTTGTTTAGTTTCAGTCTCCTCTTTTGTTTTCAATAATTGTTGCTTATAACTGTTATTATTTTTAAAATCTTTTTTAGTATCATCTTCAGGTGTAAACTTTTGTTTATTTAGCAGTTTCATGGAGTTATCTATTTGTAAGGAATCAAAACTTTGTGACAAATCATCTTTTTTTTCAGTAACAAACATATGTTTCAGTGCATTGGCAGATTCCTTATTAATCTCACGCTGAGTAGTTGGACTCCTAACATAACATATATCCATCTCATCTTCACAATTATCTTCACAACTTATATTTTCCATTACACGTTCTTCTTTATTTACTGTTAACTGTAGATGACCTTGGTTCTCATTTAAAGTCTTCATAGCAACGTCCGCGTCGTCAACATCAAACATGCTAAGCTCGCAGAAATTCTCTTCTTGCTTTGTTTTTTCATTTAAATCTAATAAAGAATTTTTCACTTTTTGACATTTTTGAGCTGGTACACTGCGATCATTAGTATTTTGTTTTATGGGTGATATCATTTCATTTTCAGTGATTTTCATTGAATCAGACTCTTGTTTGAGAGGAGAAAAGAGTTTTCTTCCAACTTGTTTCAACGAGTTTTGTTCTACAGGATTTCTACATTTTAAAGTTATTTTGCCGCTCTCGAAATTACTATTTAACTGCTTTAAATTCATTTTTCTGTAACACATTAATTCCGGTGGTAAAATTGGTGACGAAAGACTTAAGTTAGATGTAAAACTTTCAAGAGGATTTCCTTCATCAAATGCAGTTTTTATGTCTGCAGGCCTAATATTTTCATTTTCATCATCTTGTATTTCCTCCTGCTTTTTCTGATATCGCTGTTTTTTATTACTGGCTGGAGTTCCTCCTCGTAAATTACTTTTAAATGTCTTGCGTGTTATTAAACTTCCGCTTTTAAGTGCTATTTTACTAACTATTGGTTCATCTATAATATCGATAGCA